TGAATTATTCAAGTGTTAGTAACACTTGGGGTTTTTCACTAACATTGCGGTTAATTGACGTGGCGGACACTGACGGACAGCAATCGGCCCTCGGGTTAGACGCGTTGCGGCTATGTGGCAATACTCGTGACGAGGATCTTCAGCCAAGGGAGGGGGACGCGCCCGAGAGGGAACGGACATCGTGGAGATGGAGCGGAGAAGTATGGGCACGCGAAAAAGTTTATCCGGGCGGCAATGGAATGAGGGCGGAACGACGGGACCGGGTGGCAACGGCGTGGGGAGGGCTTCATCCAGCAGTGGATTGATAAAGGACTGTGAACTCCCACTCTGCTATTGTTTATGAGATTACGAGGCAGTGCCAATGTCGGTGATGAGTCTATTCGCGGTAGAGGCAGATCCACAGTACAGTGAGTGTACACAGCGCGGAGTGGTGGTGCAGTGGTTAGCGCGATGTGCTACTAACCTGGCGACCCGGGTTCGATCTCTGCTCACGACCAACATCAATTACGAATATCTGAACTGATTATGGGCCTCTGCTAGGTTGACTCAGCCGTAAAAAAAGTACCTGCTATAGTACGTACAGAAAAACAGCACAGGGCAGACAGACGTCTGTCGGGCATTGTTATGACCACACCACCCAATCGTGCACCATTCCGGCCTTCATTGGCACTGTACTCGCTAAGAGCACTTTCCCCAACAGCCTGCATGCATGCATGCCTGTACGGGGCATTTTTGTCTTTGTATGTGCACACACAGGGACACGCCCAAATGGGATGATGTGATAATGCGAGCGAAATGGGGGCACACACAACCAGAGTCTGGATCGGGTCTCTTCCCATGACCTCATCCCGAGCCCAGACCTCGCCCAAAGCGACAATCACTGCAGCCTTCCCGTGAAATCATTTTAAAAAAACGTCCTCGGTATCAAGGCACGGTCCCGACACAAGCTGCTCTTCTTTCGTAGCTACCGATTTTGATTTCATTCCAATTGCTATTTGCTTCATTGCTGTAACGCTCTTTTGTTTGTTTTGCTTTTATCATCTTTGTGACCCTAGGTCACACTCGCAAAGGGGGACTACTTCCTGTCCTGGTCTCTGGAGTTCTCACCTGGTCACACACAGTCGACTTGAACTCTTGGACTCAGCTGGGCTGTGTGTCCCCTCCTCGGTGGAGGATCTGACAGTTCCGCTGAGCCACACGCCTAACTTTTGGGCTTCTATTCCGCACATCGTATTATCCAAGTCACAGCCACTTTTCTTGCAAATAGATCCACAGACTCCTGGTTTTGACATTCCTCCTCGAAGACACCGGTGTAACCATCAACCGCATCGGGACATCACTAGAGCGATGCGCACGTCTCCTTCATCAATGGAAATTAAAGGCAAACCACAGTGGTGCGATTGTGATCATGCAATTGCAACCGTGGACCATATAGTGAGCCACTGCAGTCGGAGTTCCTGCAACGGAGGAGGAACAGCAAAGCGAGACGAACCCTCTCTGCTAAAGCCCACTCGCCGTGGCCAGCAGCAGACCTCGACATTGGCATCGAGCTCCTGAACCAGATTGCCGCCATACACAACAACAGAACCTATTCCTTACATCTACATAGATACCCATAGACTCACATTAGACTCTCTACGGGTAGAGAACAATATAGTTCAACACAGACCTGTAGACTTGCATGAACTTACATGAACCATAGACTCTAACATAGACTCCAAAAACACGAATGTGATCCATAGGCGTATATAGATTGCAGGGGCACGATGGAGGGAGGGGCGCCACCCCGTGGCTGCAGCAGGGAGCGCGCGATGCGTCCAGATGAGGGCGCCCTCATCCAAGGCGAAAGAGCGTTCGTGACGAGGTTCGCTCACCCCTCACACCTCACCCCAACCCCCATTCACCACAGGTGACCCCCCACCCCGCCCCTCATTCACTGCGGGTGTTGCCCTAGTGACCGTAATCAGTGCTCGCGCCATTGATATCAGCACGTGCCGAGCGGAAACGCGATCAATAATGATTGCTCAACACGTCCCACGTGACGTGCAGAGGACGCCGACGATTCGGACTGAAAGCAAGAGTAATCGTAATGCGCTCAGGGGTGCGTTATCAACGCATTAAAACACACATACTGTATACATCTGTCGGTCTAATGGACCAGTGCCATCTGTTTGTGTTCACATTGTCAGTCCACTGCTGGATGATGACCGAGCCACGCCATGTCAGTCGTGGGGGTTGGTGGTGGGAGGGGGCGGGGGGGGGGGGTCGCGGCTGGGAATCAAGAGGCCATCCATTCAGTCCGTACGCATGGAGGGGGGAGGGGGGGGGGTTAACCCAAATGCGTTCGCTTGCGTATGGGTGGGGGGGGGGGGTCTACTGACAATGTGCGTACGCATAGGAAACGGGGGGGGGGGGGGGTGAAGCCTCGATAATAATTTGTCTACATTGGCCTTCAAATTAGTTATATAGTCCGGCGGTGTACTATCTGTTTGCTTAAACGCGTTAATATTATTAATCCTTGATCGTTTCTGCGTGGATTAAATATCGGCCGTTCTATAGGATTCGGGGTGGGGGGGGGGGGGGGGGTGCGTCAGGTGTACGTACGCAGCTGGGGGGGATGGGGGGAGGAGTCAGGTTTTGACAGATTTTTGCCTACCTACTAAATAGATGCCCCCCAAACCGAGGTGGGCGAGTCCAGGGTTATTGTGTATCCACCATCAGGCACGTGCAGCGTGTGGCGACTTGTTTCGTTGTTGTTGCACGTAATGGCCGTGTGGACTGGCAACTCGGGGGGGGGGGGTGGCTGGGAGCGGAGTGGCCGGGGACTTCGATCCCGAGTTCAGGTTTTGTGCAAGTCGATAACACGCTGCGCGCCCTTCCACCTCCTCTACATCATCATCATCACAACACAGTACCGGGGCAAGAGGTGGAGGTCCCCCGCGGAGTGGGTGCGGCGGGAGGCGTCCCCCCACAACAACACAAAAGCCCCCCGTGACTCTCCACCGCACTTTCATTAATGAGCCCAGCTACGCCCATGATGATGGTGATGGTGAAGCCGGCTAGCACGATGATGATGATAGTGGTGATGGTGAAGCCGGCTTGCACGATGATGATGATGGTGGTGGTGGTGAAGCCGGCTTGCACGATGATGATGATAGTGATGGTGAAGCCCGCTTGCACGATGATGATGGTGGTGGTGGTGAAGCCGGCTTGCACGATGATGATGATGATGATAGTGGTGGTGGTGAAGCCGGCTAGCACGATGATGATGATGGTAGTGGTGGTGGTAGTGGTGGTGGTGAAGCCCGGACCGGATTTTCTCGCCGTTCTCGCTTTTGCGTCCTGAGCCCCCGGGTTTACCCGCGTCTTGTAGACACCCCCAAAACTCTCCCCTCCCCTCTCTCACGTCGAGGTCTGGGGTGGAAGAGGTTGGGGGGGGGGTGGAAGAGGTTGGGTTGGGGGGGGGGCAAAGGGGGACCGAACCCGGACCCCCGAGACCCCCCACCCCCACATCTCCCAACTCAACCTGGGCAATGTCGTCCCCTAAAGCTCGTGACGACCAGACGGTTCGAGTCTCTCTCCCGCAACACCCCCCCCACTCTCCTCACTCGTCCACCTCTCCTGTATCTCTCTCTTACCTCTCTCTTTCCACCTCGTCACTCGTTCATATTTCATCCCCCCCACGCCTCCCCTGCCTCACTCACTCTCTCTCGCTCACTCCGCGTGCCCGTGACGCGCAGGGTCAGCACATCACAACTTGAGATCCGCGCCCACCACACTGCTGCTGCTGTACGCTCCTCCATCTCTCCTCCTCCGTCTCTCCTTCCCCATCGCTCACCTCTTGCCTCTCACCCACCCACCCACCCCTGTCCGGCTCGCTTCCATGTCAGCTCCGAGGAGCAGTGTTCACCTCCTCTCACGATCTTTACCGTGCATCCACCTCATCGGCCCCCTCACCTCAACGTCCCCTCACCTAAACCCACCTTCTCATCCCCTCACCTTCCCTCGACTGCTCTACCCTCCCTCATCCCCTGACCCTGCATCCACCTTTTCACTCGCACCTCATCACCTGTATCGCCTCGCCTCTAATCCACCCCTATTCACCGCCTCACCCATTTGAACGTAAATCCTGAACCTCGCCCACTCACCGCCTCGCTACTTCCACACATTCACGACCTCACCCCCTTCACCTTCGTATCGACTCTCGTGTATCCACCTTCACCCCCGGTATCCACTTCTTTCACATCACCTCATCAGTATCCACCTCCTTAACATCACCTCATCAGTATCCACCTCCTTCACATCACCTCATCAGTATCCACCTCCTTAACATCACCTCATCAGTATCCACCTCCTTCACATCACCTCATCTGTATCTACCCCCTTCACATCATCTCATCACCTCATCTGTATCTACCCCCTTCACATCACCTCATCTGTATCTACCCCCTTCACATCACCACATCACCTTATCTGTATCCACCTCCTTCACATCACCACATCTGTATCTACCTCCTTCACATCACCTCATCTGTATCTACCTCCTTCACATCACCTCATCTGTATCTACCCCCTTCACATCACCTCATCACCTCATCTGTATCTACCCCCTTCACATCACCTCATCTGTATCTACCCCCTTCACACCACCTCATGTGTATCCACCCCCTTCACACCACCTCATCTGTATCTACCCCCTTCACATCACCTCATCACCTCATCTGTATCTACCCCCTTCACATCACCTCATCTGTATCTACCCCCTTCACACCACCTCATGTGTATCCACCCCCTTCACACCACCTCATCTGTATCTACCCCCTTCACATCACCTCATCACCTCATCTGTATCTACCCCCTTCACATCACCTCATCACCTCATCTGTATCCACCCCCTTCACATCACCTCATCTGCATCCACCTCCTTCACATCACCTCCGCATCTAACCTCCGCACTCCCTCACCTCGTCGTCACCTCGCCACCACCACCACCACCTCACCTGAATCCACCTCCTCGCCTCGCCAGCCACGTCGCGGAGGCTCCGCTCCCGCGTCTCCTCTCCCCACGCCGCCTCGCTCGGCGCGGGGCCGCTCTCGGCCACCCTCGCCATGGTCTCCGCGGTCCCCGCGGTCCCCTCAGGTCCCCCGGGGGGTAAAGTTCCCCTTCGGTTCGGGGCCCGCCTCGCTCCGCGGGTCCCGGCAGGCGCAAGGGGGGCCGAGTGGAGGCCGCGCAACTCAAAACCGCGGGGCTCGGCGCGAGGAAGCGGCGGCGGTGGCTGCGGCTCCTTCGAGCTCCGAGCTCGGCGTAAGCGAGTGGGGTGGGGGGAAGCGAATCGACAAAACCTCCCCTCTCTCTCTCCTCTCTCTCTCAGCTCCCTCCCCTCTCTCTCTCCTCTCCCTCCTCTCTCTCAGCTCCCAGCCCCCTCCCCTCTCTCCCTCCTCTCACTCTCAGCTCCCTCCCCCCTCTCTCCCAGCTCCCTCCCCCCCTCTCTCCCAGCTCCCTCCCCCCCTCTCTCCAGCTCCACTCTCCCCAGCTCCCCTCTCCCCCTCCCCCCCCTGTCTCCAGCTCCCCCCACCCCCCTCACGCTCCCCACAAACTCGCTGTGTCCCTTCAGCCCTCCTCCAACCCCCCCCTCCCCTTCATTTAAAAATGCATCCATCCCCTCTCCGCCTCCCTCCATGCACATTTCCTCATTTAAATTACCTCCTTGTTCCTCCCTTCTCTCTCACCCCCCACAAACACATTAACACCTCTCTCCATCCACACTCTTCTTCAACATGCTCCACTCTCCCTCGCCCCTCCACCTCCCTCCTTTCAGAATCCCTCGCAATCCCTTCTTCTAGTGCCCTCTAATCCCGCCATCAACCTCCCTCCTTCAACACTATTCCCTCTCCGTTCCACTCCCTCCACTCAACTTCACAATCCCCGCTCCCATTCCTTCCCTCGCTTTAATCGCCTCTCAGCTTCCTCCGGGTTCCCCGGTTTCCTTCCATAGCTAAAACAACCCCCCCCACACACACACCACACACAATGTAACCACTATTTGGCCAAAACATCTCAACGTTGAAAAACAATTACCTGGACATCACTCAGCCGGGAATCTCGCACAGCAGCAACATCGCCCCGCTCTCCACTGGCGAACACGTGGAAGGACCCTCCTCAAAGAGTCTTGAGACTCAGCGAGAGGCTTTCTTGGCAAACAGGTGAGATAATAATGATACATCTCCTCCACCTCAGACTCCCTCCCTCCACAACACACACCTGCATTAGCATCACACTCTCTCCCCCGCCACGCATCCCCATCACTCCTATCCCCCAGGCATCTTGGAAGACACGGGTCCCCACCCATTCTCTTTTGGGGCTCATACACGGGATGGGGTGGGGCGAGAGTCAAGGGGATCAGGGATCCCAGGTGAGTCTATGTCAGGCTGCACGGCATCCTGAGCACGCTCGTTCCTGCGGGCTCACCAGACTCGATGATGATGGTGGTGGTGGGGATGATGGGTGCAGTAACTGCTGTGCAGCACTTAGGACGAGGGCTGCTGAAATCTTTATTGCATTACCGGCAGCCGCATGAAAACAAACATCGGTTGCTGGTTTGTCGGACACAGACAAATGTCAGAAGTGTATTCCCATTGAGCTTCGAAGATCGATTTCATGTGCGACTCGTCCTGCAGACAACAGCGAGTAGTAAAAGACGTGTCTAGCCATCAACCGAGAAAGGAAGACAGCTGCCACAGCCCAGTGACAGTCAGCAGCCGCACAATGGCCTGGTAATGTACGGTCTGTTGAACTTCTTTCGCACCGTACGTAGCCAAGCTTGCTCATCGGAGGTGCGGGAGAAAAAGGGGGAAACAATTCCAGGTCGCGGGTTATTTTCGATTTCCGGGCGCGGCAGAGGTGCACGTTTCTCAGCCTTTCCCCTCGCCCTACTGCCCTCTCTCCACCCACCAGCAGTCTCCGATCGGCGGGTCGCTTGTGGTGGGGGGGGGGGGGTACAGTGGTGGGTTACTCCCACCTCCTCCAAGACGCATTGCCCAGCATGGAAGAGCAGGCCAAACACCGCCATAGGTGCTGTTTGGCATTGCCCAGCCAACAAAGACGGCTGTTTCTGGTGTAGACCAATCAGTTTCAAAGACAATGCATATACTATGACAGCATGTTTGTTTGCATGTGCATCACAAGTAGTGCTTGTGGTTAATGCAGTGCTTGATCCCTTGCAAAAGGTTTATATTTGGTGTCCAAACATCTTAACACTTCCTGTGTTATTTCCAGAAAGGGTAAAACATTATTATTTTTCATCCTGGTCGCTTGACGTAGAGACCTCGTCACACTTCCTGATTCACTCGGCTCACTGGTGGCTCGACACCTCCTGACGACCACGGTTACCCAGTGCCGGATGATCCTCGTAGCACAAGCAGCAGCTACACATGAAGTAGCTACGGGCCCCGCACTTTCAAGGGCCCCGCGCTAAATCCTCTCAAGCTATCAATTCCTATTCAGTGATTCTGCACTTGCTCTATTACTATAGTACTATACCGCCTTCAACTTTGATTAACGACTGGGTGTTTAAGGTTAGCGATTTGTCGTATTATCTGGCTGTATAGCAAATGAAAAATACGATTACTTTACTATGCAAGTTAACAATTTGTGTTTTAATATTACTATTTAGGGCCCCTTTATAACATATGCTACAGGCCCCGCACTAGCTTCATCCGGCACTGCGGTTACCGTTGCCGTGAACGTCACCCGTCGAGTCTTCCACCAAATGTTTAGCAGTTACCGTTGCCGTGAACGTCACCCGTCGAGTCTTCCACCAAATGTTTAGCACTCGGTCGACCGGAGTTCCATCTCATCCCAAACCGTGCTCAACCACCGCGCGCTTGCGAGTTGCGGTGCACTCAAATTGACTCACTTCTCCCATCAACTCGCTCGCCCACACTGCAGCTCGCAACGCCGATCTACTTCCTCCTTCGCAAGTGCTGCACGCTTGGGAATGACCTCTCATCGTCTATACACTCCCAAGCATCTAGAACCTAACTTCATAAAAAAAAAGTGTAAACTCTCACATAATTACAACTCTGACAGCGAGTAATTTGTTTCCGACCTGTTGGCATTTTTCAGTACACCCCCCCCAATTCAACAAACGCTTCTCTGCCCCCCCCCCCACTCAATTCGAGGTGTGGTTCCCCCATGGTGTCGCGGTGACAATGGTCTTGGTGGTAATCGTCGCGACATGACTCACACTTCCCCATTCACCGCGTCTCAATAATTGATGTCGCCCAGAGGAGAGAACATGACAGCGGGGCTATTACGCTAATCCGACACGTGATGTCTGGGGGGGGCAGAGGGGGCGCTCTCCTGTGCCAGGCGGTAATTTCATTGTTGTTGCCGGGCGAGTTGGTCGGGTGTTGCGGCGTAGGCGGTGGGGTCTTTGTGTTTCTGTCTCTCGGTAGGAACACCTCCTCCTCCACCCCCAGCTGCGTCTTTGAGCCTCGCGAAACGCGCACGCTCCACATCTGGCGTTGCTTGCGATTAGACTGGGGGGGACCGGGAGGGGGGGGGGGGGTAGTTACACAATCGTCCGATGCGCCATCACCTGCCGCCTCTCTGGCCCGAAAGGGAACAACTTGGGTCAAACCAGGACGCTCGTCTTTGAGGACCTCCAGAAGCGTGGTGTCCGATCCTCACTCTGACTCGGAAACACGCATCCCCCCCCCCCCCTCCCCCCGTCACTGCAGCAGCGGACGCAGCCATCGGAAACGTTTTCAATGCATTTTATTCACACCGCGTAAACAACGCAGTGGCGCAGAGAAACGCACCCACTTCCACGGCCCCCCGCCCCCCCATGCCCTCTCCCCCACCGACCGTTATTCCGTCCTTAGTGGGGGCCCCCCTCCGCCCAACAACGAAATCCCTCCTGTCAAAGGCTGGGGGCCTCAAATTCATTCCCCATCTCGAGGTGGGTCAGGGGGCACAGGGGGCACAGGGGTCACAGGGGGTCCCCCCCTGGGGTCCCCCCCCGGGGTCCCCCCCCCCGTGCTACGTGCGACCGTCGAGCGACTCGCCGATGCGACCGACAATGGACCCTCGTCGCGCAAGCGTCGTCCAACCACGACCGCGGGGGAGCGCAGCGGTCGCGCCGGCCGGCCCCGCCACTCCGGCCGGGCTCACGGGGCTGCCGACAGCGCAATGACGGTGAAGCGAACCTCGTCCGGGTCCCTGGCCATGAAACGGCGGCAAACGCTGGCCGCGTCCTGCGGGGGGAGGGGGGGGGAGCAGGTGACACGGGCCTCGCGTTTGAACGGACCTACGCGCGGTCCACGTACTAGCACATGTACATGCGCGCGCGCGCGCGCACACACGTGCCCGTGTGTGCGCGCGCGCGCGCGCACACACGGGCACGTGTGTGCGCGCGCGCGCGCGCACACACGGGCACGTGTGTGGGTGTGCACAGACAGAAAACAAAGCTACACACAATGTCACTGGTATTGACAAAAAAAACACATCGCAATGCCGACAAATTACCTGCAAATTACTAACTGGGATTACGCATCGCAACATCGCCCCCCCCCCCCCTACTGAAAAAGAAAATAGGCAGGACCCTCCTGAAAAAGTCTTGAGACTCAGTGAGGCTTTCCTTGGAAAGTAAACGGAATAGCAACACACAATCATAACAGGCGTCCAACATTAAAAGCACTACGTGCTGACGGGTAGAGCGGGTGCCAAACGTGGATGTTTTCTGGAGCGAGCGTGGTGAAGTGGTGAGCGTGGTGGTGTATGTGCTGTATGTGGTAAGCGTGGTGGTGTATGTGGTGAGCGTGGTGGTGCATGTGCTGTATGTGGTAAGCGTGGTGGTGTATGTGGTGAGCGTGGTGTATGTGCTGTATGTGGTGAGCGTGGTTGTGTATGTGCTGTATGTGGTGAGCGTGGTAGTGTATGTGCTGTATGTGGTGAGCGTGGTGGTGTATGTGCTGTATGTGGTGAGCGTGGTGGTGTATGTGCTGTATGTGGTGAGCGTGGTGGTGTATGTGGTGAGCGTGGTGGTGTATGTGCTGTATGTGGTGAGCGTGGTGGTGTATATGCTGTATGTGGTGAGCGTGGTGTATGTGCTGTAAGTGGTGAGCGTGGTGGTGTATGTGCTGTAAGTGGTGAGCGTGGTGGTGTATTTGCTGTATGTGGTGAGCGTGGTGTATGTGCTGTATGTAGTGAGCGTGGTGTATGTGCTGTATGTGGTGAGCGTGGTGTATGTGCTGTATGTGGTGAGCGAGTTGGAGGTGAGAGGAACTGGCTCACCTCCAAGAAGGTCTGGCTGCTGGTTTTGCCGTGGTTTATAGGGAAGGGTTTCCTGCCATCTGCACGGAGCGAGAGTTGGAAGATTAAAAACACAGGCGCCAAACATCAAAACCAGCTCACAGGGAACGTGGACGTGTGCATACCAGCACGTGCACGCGCGTGTGTACATCCTCTCGCGTACAGTACGCACAAAGATCCCTTCTGTTGCCTCCAACAGGCTGTTGGGTCAAGTGCTGTTAGCGAGCACCTATGAAGGTCGGCACATGACGAGGTGGGTGGCCAAAACCAGGCCCGGCCGCCTTTGTCTCCCCAATGCTGATGCTTTAAACACTGCGTAATTGTACGCATTTAAGGCCGAGTCGACCTAGGGGAGCTCCAGCACCGGTTCAGATATTTGCCACCATTATTGGCCATGAGCGGTAATCAATTTCGGGGTCGCCAGGTTCGTAACGCGGAGTACTAACCGCACGTGGGCATACGCACGTGGACACATACAGGGATGTGAGCGCACACGGACACCTCGACCGCACACAGGCAAGTGTGCGCGCACACACGCACCAGGACACGCATCCCGGCAAGAGCGGACATCGACACAGAGCGCGTGGCCCTGCGCAAACACAAAGATCCCCTGTACAGCCTTGAAGAGATTTGTTGCGCGCACAAATGTGTGAAAACGAACGCAGGCGCACGACTCTGTAGTAAATGCACGTCAACTGTAACACACGAACATCACGCGTGACACGCGTGCGTTCACACGCACGCAAGGACACCGGCACCCCCCCCCCACCACCGCACCAGCATGTGGTTCTGTGCAGGAGCGGGTCAACTGCCACGCAGCACGGCAGCGGCCCTAACAGACGCGCGGGCGCTCATCCATCATGCGTCGTCGCTCACACCCACGAGACAG